AGTACAGGCCATTTACCATTTTCAGTGGAAAACCAACAATGTAAGTGTTTGTTGCTTTCTGTAACTTCCTGCAACATAATTGATCAAAACTAGCACATTAATACATTGTGTAAAAATGTTTTATCAACAATCTAATAAAGTAAGCTCTAAGAAACAGACAGAAAAGTGCAGACAGAAATTAGTCAGCTGCATATACTCTATTTTTCATAAAATATAAAATCCACTAAAAGATTAATTGCTCTCTTTACACATATCTTTTATGAGCAACAGATCTTAACAGGTGCACGACTATTCATAGTATAAGTGTACAGCAAACAGAGTGGTAAGTCTAATTTAAATATTAACAATTTGGGGCTTAAAATTGTAGGTAGGTTTAAAGTTAAATCACTGACTGGGGGCTGCCGTAGAAACCGGAAAGCACATATGCTGATATCAATATCAGACCATGCAATTTCAATGGATAAAAACCTCCGGAACTTTTTACTGCAAAGCAATAGTGTTGCCAAGTGAGCCTTCATGCGGCCGTAAAGCAGATTAAATATGATGCAAAATATTCATACTGATGCATCCTTATAGCTGATATTGTTTAGACCCACTCAGAATATAATGTGAACCTTTTAAAAGGAGAATAATGTAGTGATTAGAATGCTAACAATATGAGATCGAAAAGTTAATGACATGAATCTATCCTCTAAACTGAGGATGACCTTTTAAGGAAGTAGAGTGAGAGAGTTATAGCTTTTTTCTCTGCAGACAAACACCATGAGGGGCTGGGGATGCATGGAAAATGGTATTTTTGCATTTAAAGATGCATGTCTAGAGGTCAAATCATGTGATTGTATTTGGAATCATTCTGTTGTTTAAGTCTTCTCCTCTGATCAGGCAGTGACCTTCTGGTGCTTTAACACTTACACAAACAGTTCCTACTTGGGTTTTATTACAGAATAGTTTATCATTGTATTTATTATGTGGCACAGTGTGTTACATTATTGCAGTGCTTTAACTACATGTTTTCAACTGGAGGATCTCTCACCTGAGAGTCATTAACCAGAAAAACAGTTCTTGTACTGTGACTCGAGTGGTGGAATTATTAATTCATCAGCAGTTTTGAATAATAAATGTCAGGGATATTTACCTCCCAAAATATTGCAATATGGCCTCTTTGTTTGAGCACACACACAGAGACACACACACAGACACATCCTCCACCTCCCTCTTCATCTCTTTTTCTCTGCTCTGTGAGGCAGGTTAATGGCAATAATAAAATCACACTCTGTATTTCCTCTGTGCTTTGAATGGCCTCATCAATTTACAGGCAGCATGAAATACTGAAGAAGAAACAAAAAAAAGGGACAAGGAAATCATCCATGTCTAAAATACCTACGCTTCCCTAGCAGGCTTTTTATTCCTTTCTCAGTTTATAAATGAAAAGGTTATATAATTAGACACAGCTTGATGTATAGAACAGCAGCTGACTGCCATATTCCTGTTTCTCATTAATTCTAGCCTAACTGAATTTCCTCTACCCTTCTATTTACATACAAAACATTGCAAAGACATTTTTTCAAAGAGTTGGCTTCTCTATGTGTGGGGTATAAATATGATACATTCATAATAACAAATAAATACTCCCAGATTATATTCAAATGATAATATTTTGCATTTGCAAGTAATGGAAAAAAACCTAATAAAACATCTTAAGGCAACTAACATATAATGTCACAGAAGGAGAAGCAAAATATGAAGAAAGGTGAACATTGACTTACTGGTGGTACAGTTATTCCTGATACAATCTAGATGGGGAAAGAATAGATGAGAGATAAATTCATCTTTCAACGTTACAGCTGCAGACATCATCAAAGCATGCACTCCACCCCTCTGGGGACAAACACACGGACACTGTCCATTCTCTGGTGCTCTCACATGTTTTAGCCTCAAGATGGTAAAACTGCTGCTGTGTTGGAGTGCAAGAACAGCACTCTTTTTTTAATGTTATTGCAAAAGTCAAGTACTGAATGTATTAGACAGAGCTTAAGATATTTTACTAATCTAAAGGATTTTTTTAAAATGACAATAACATTGTGAGAGCATCAGATTATGGTCAGGGTCACACAAGGCCAACTGGAAGGTATCGTCATTATTCTCCCAAGGCTTCTTTCATGTACCAGTATAAGGTTAGAAAAAAAACATACGTTTTTATAAACATAGTCTAGCTCATGTACATACAGTATTGTTAGGACACTTGATTGGTCATAACTTTAAGAAGTTGTCATATTTTTTCTTTATATCTTTGTTGAAATTTCACCAAACATGCAACTTTGCACTGATTAGTGTTTTGTAATGTGTCAATATCAAAGCATGAGTTTATTATTCAGAACTTGATTTTGTCTTATAAATGCATAGGATACAGCCACAGAGGAATGCTCGGTTACC